AAGTTGTGAGTACGGAAATTTACTTGAAGAGTTGAAATAATTACGGAAATTGCGGGAATTCGTTGATGGGGAAATTGAGAACAGAAGGAAAGGCTAGGATTTAGTTTTAGGTACATTTATCAAGGAAATAACTAATTAACTTTAAAATGGTAGAAATATCCAGACCATTTTTTTATTAAATTTATTTTCAGACACTTTTAAATTTCAACATTTCCAATTCCTAGTGCTTTATTTGTCACCCCAAAAACCGCCAAGTGTTTAAATTATTCAAAAAGGTTCTCCACGCTTAAGCTCATGATTTTGACGTAAATTTTGGGGATTCCCCGCTCCTCCTGCCGTAACGGATGTGTCTCTGAGGACACTTTATCATGGCTCGCGAGGCTCAAACAATTGTTGCAAATGGAGCTCAGCGGCTAAGTGGTTTTATTTTAAATCTTTCACGTTCAGAACAGGGAATCTGCAGCCTTCTGACAACAAGTTGCTTTCAAAAACTCAACAGTCGCGACAAGTTGTAAGCGGAATAATTTGGTTTTTCTGTTTTTCACTGCTCTTCATTTCGCTTTTTTATTCTTTCCGTGGAACTCAATTGTTTGGTAAATGTCAGTCTTCATTTGTCAGCAACATTCCAAGTTGGCTTAAGTGGCTTCGTTGTCAGCCAGAGGAGGAGTTTATTGCTTCAGCAACAGATATAGCTAAGTTGAGTCTTTATAAATCTGAACAATACTTGGGGATTTGAGTTGGAAATATTAGATGTAACCACAAAAAAAGGATCTCCATACCAGACTATAATACCCGACAAATTAAGAGACCAAATCAAACCATATATAAAACATTGATTGACTTTACTTCCCGGACACATCTTTCCGGATAAGAACAAATTGCCAGCTTTGATGGACATTTGAAATTACAATTGAAATTGAAAAGCTGGCAACGGTGCACGCCAGTCCTGGCTGTTCAATAGCAGATCCTATAAATATTTATTATGCCTTTTCAAGGCCTAATTCTGATTAATTTATCAATCGATTCGCCGACGAGCCTTGACACGAAATGTCAGACTCTGGATTTATGGCCCAACATTACGAGCTGCCTTGCTAATTATTTCGCTGTGTTTCGCCTTGGCTTTTATCCACTCGACAAGCGCCTTTCTCCCTTGATTTTATTTTCATTTTATTAGTATATTTTTCCTTTTTGTCTTGGCAGTGACTCAAGCTTGAATCAATAAAATCCCGTGGCACATGAATCCAGACACGTAAACCCGAAAACAAAGCCCTGCAAATGTGCATGGCATCCAAAAGCGGCAGAATGAATAAGCAAAGGCCAATAGCGAATGAAAGTGAATTTCACGCCATTGGCTAAAACGATTTTCCGGCAGGAAGGCATCAATCAGAACGGAAAATACTTCGTTCTGCTCACTTATTTATGCGTCCCTGGCGTATGCGTAATATTTCAGCGTTTTATTACAAGCGCAGTGAACTCGCTGAGCTCAATGTGGTCGGTGTTCTATATTAACATTTATTTTGTCTGCTTTGTAGGGTATTTGAGAAGTTTGGCTGAAATGTAGTTTCTAAAGATATTCAGACTGATATTTATGACCTACAAATAATAATAAAATACTTTTTAAAGTGACAATATATTTCTATAACAAATTACCTTGTTTTTTCTCAGGTAAAGGCAAAAACTCTTAACAAATGAACCCTAAAATTTAAGCTAAACTTAATTTTAAAATATTTATTAACAGAAGCAGTTAGAGCAAAAGATAGTTAAACAATTAAGAGCTATATGTCTTTGAGAACCTTTAATGTGGACGTTTTTTGTTCAATATTTAAGAAAAGTTTCTTCCTTCATTTAAATTATTTGAAAGAATTTGCAAACTCTATATACTTTGAATTTACATTCTACAGTTTAAGATAAATAACCCCTGACAGCTGTCGTTGTCCCACAAAGGAATGCTAATCAAGTGGGAAGCCGGAGCAATGAAATTATCGACCGATTTCGGTTTGGTTTCTCGATTTTCGTGTTCGTGCTCCCTAAGCTCTAATTGAACTCTTTTACTTTCAGCATTTCCTCGTTGCCAGCAAATGGAGCATGTAAATGCACCTGGATGCCACCCACTCTGGAATCCGGATCCCGGCGATTACATAGCGACCTTGCTGCGGGTGTGGTGGTGGGTGAGTGTACTATGGGTGGGGCCATCTTGTTTAGCTCAAACCGCAATTGGCAATTTGCTGTTACATTAACCCACAATACACAGCTCATAAATTAGGAGGCATCTCAGCACCTGCAAATTTAAGATGCAGATGCACCAGCTCCTCTGGCAGTTGGCTTCAAAATGCCCGGAATTTCGACCCCCAATAAAGACAGAATTTGATTTTACAGTCAAAAATCAGATGGCGTTTAAATAGTTTCGTGGCTTTGAGGCTATTTAGATGAAAAGTTAATACGCGACAGCTGCGGCCTTTGATGCGTCATCTGCCAAAAGGCACTGGAACTTGTTGCGAATTTTGTGCAATAAAAGAAAAATGTATTTAAAATAAATTCATATTTAACTATATTAAATATAACATTAATATTATTTTACTAAAATATTACCCCTAAATAGTTAGGGGTAGTAGTTTATGCTTTTTACAGTTTGTTTAGTTGATCTTCTACGCCGCATTTTTCACAGGTGACGACGACATTGCTGTTGAAATTTTTATAATATTTTTACAAAGCCAAAGAACGCAACGCAGGCAAGGTCGATGAAATGGAATCCAAGTAGAACTACTCGCATAAATTAGACGCGCATAAATAAACACGATCCAGATGCATCAGTTTCAGGAACCATGTGACTTGTGAGGCAATCGAAAGTTGAAGCAATTAAAATGCTATAAAGTTTTTCACACGCCAATCGCCGAAACATAAACTGAGTGTATTTTAGTGAATAGATATTCATCTCAGCTATAAACTATATGCTCGACTATTTGCTTAGGCAATCGTCACCTGCGAAACGCCAAGGATACAGATACAGTCTCGAAATAGTATATATTTCCAGTAGCTACTATTTATCATTCAGGGTGCGTAGTGTTGCCATAAAACCATTGCCTATTGCGAGGCGTTCAATGGGGGAGTAATACGTTTTTAATAAACCAAACCGCAGCAGGCGCCACTTACAAATTTTGTGGCAATTTTGGCAGCCGGCAGCAGCAGGAGGTTAACTAGGGGAACCCCCTATTCTCCCCATATTATCGCCACTAACAACGCAACGCCGCAATAACCGAAAATCTAATAGCCATAAATGTTGGGATTTCCAAAGCCGTAAAAATTGCCCCTCTATCGCCGTGTGTTTAACAACATGTTAACATGTCGACGACTGCTGCAATGAGCCTTTTGTATGCGGGCCCCGATCGTAAATCAGACAATCGACTGTGAGCCGCAGGCCAAACATTACATTAACCCCCAGGACACCCCACATCCCGCAGGATACGTTTGCGTTTCCCTTTTGCGGTTTGTCGGCCCCATAATGTGATTTAACTTGCGGTTAAACGCGCATTTTGTATTTGTTTTGATTACCGAATCCGATTTTGGATTGGGTTTAGTTTACCCTTCTTTTGGGTCATTAAAATGTTTGGTTTACCCAAAACCAGAGAGGTGGATTGAATAGATTTTGTTACTTTTGAGGATTTGTTGTAGGTCCTAGATTTATTCACTTTGTATGAAAGAAGAGGATTTATCTTTTAGGGTTTTATATACTTTTCTATTTTGAAATTTATTTAATTTTAAAGAATGATTTGATACAAGAAAAAGTCATTATTATTTTATTGCAACTTTGTTTTATAAATGTCGTAGGTATCTAGGCTTAACTCTGAATATTTTGTTAAATATATAAACTTTACAACTTTTTTTTGTTTGTGTTTCCCCAGATTTTATGTTATTTATCTTCCTGATATCTCACAAATATTATTCCAAATTTTCTTAGCATATTTTTGTTGCTCGTTTGCTTCCTATTCAAAACCCAAAGGAAATCCAATAATATAATGCCGCGGCAATCTCTTGAAATATGCATTGTTCTCACTGAAAATTCTCCATCCCCTGTTTTATTGGCCACACTTCCACACACATTTATCTCTCTTAGCCCCTGCCTGGTTATTATGCTGTTATTTATATTTCAGCGCGAAATATTCGCCTTGCCCCCGAATGTTGCACAATTCGTGGACTTTTTTGTTTGCTTTTGTGTCATCAAACATGTTGCGTGTCTGGCCGCCGTGTGCAATTTAACCGATGACGGGGTGCAAGGGGTTGCTGCGAAACTTTTTGCCACGTAAATGATTTGTTTTGTCAATTATTTTGTTAGCCAACATGCAACAACCGCGGAGTCTCTCAGCTGATAACATCAAAACAAAGGAGGGAGCCCCAAAGGAATAACTTTTACGGAATTAATTGAGAGGCGTGGCCGCGCAAATTGCATCAAGATATGGGGGTAAACAAACAGATCCGGAAATCGGACGAATCGCGGAGTTGGCAACAGAAACCAAGACAGAAGGAAGTCGTCCAATTTTATGGAGTGCTCCCAGCCTGGGCATCTGTTTAGACAGGCGAGTCCACTTGCATAAATATTTATGGCAATCGCGGCCAGCTGATTATTTATCGCCTGACGCAATTGCCCGGCAGAAGTGAGAGAGATTAAAAAATAATGAAACACATGTGCACTCGTATACCGCTTTTCCAATTGAAATTAATGCACACATTTGTTTTCTGTGCTCCACAAAACATAACATAATAGAAAACCAGAGTTGTTTCAAGGGGGGGAGGACCAGAAATCTGTAGCCAAACAGGCAATTGAGTGATGGATGGATTGGCATTGGCCCCTCGCCCCTTTCGGCATTTTTTCTTTATATTTTTTTATGCCTCATCTTAATTAACATGCGCGACATTTTCTGCTTTATATTTTGTTGCTTTCCCGGTTTTTTTGTGACATATTTTTAGGGTCTGACGTTAGAGTACTATATAGTGAAGGAAATTACCTTGAAGCCACGACAACAACGACGACTGGAAGTGAAGGAACTGAAGGAACTCTCACTCACAAAAGCACTTCTGCTAGTTTTGTATATATTTATTTATCTTAGCCAGAGAACGAAATTGCCCAATTCATAGCACTAAATTTGTGTGGCACTAATTGCACTTAGCCGCGATCGCGATAACTCAAAATAACACACGCGCGGCACTCGAGATTCTGAAAGTCCCCGCTACAATATTTCAGCACAAAGTATTTCAGAATTTTAGAATTATTTATTTTCCCTGACGAGCTACGGAGAGAGCATGTGACCGTGTCAGCGTGCGGCGCGTTGCCAACTGAATCGTCGGATGCGAGTCGGACGTATAAAGCCAGTCCGAGTGCCGGTCGCAGGCTCGTGTCTTGTTCGTGTGCTTCCGCTCGTTTCCACTCGGTTTGCCTTCGGCTGGCTTCGTGCGGAAAAGCCGGCAAAACAAAATGTAAATAGTAGATGTAGATGGGGGTTCTCTAGGGGGTAGCTGGGGGAATTTTCCGGCAGTCGAGGCAGCCGGCTTTTGGTCTCAGTGTCGAGCTTTGCAGATTTTACGCCTTACGAATGGGGGCTTCGTTTTTGCCCCCTGCCACAAAAATTCCAACCCCCATCCCCATCGCCGCTGTTTGCTCTGCGGCTTTTCGGGGTTGTTAGAGCGCGTAAATGTGTGTGTGAGCGTTTGTTTGTAGACACTTCGGCTTGGCCTGCAATTGGCGGGAAACCCTGTGGATGCCATTTCGATTGAGCCTTAGAAGTTGGCAACATTTTGCGAATTTTTATGGGGAATTAATTTTAGGATTATTTATTTATTTGTTATAAATGTTAATTTAATAAATGGTGAACAATATCGGATGTTTTAAGAGGAGTTAATTACCAGTGGTACAAGTTATGGTGAATACATTTTATATTTTTAAATGCCAGACATAATTTACCACAAAAGTTTCAATAAAATAATAGTGAAATTATAAGATAAATAATTTTTATATAATAGAGAAGCTGAATTTTTTATTAAAACTGTCTAAAATAGTTTATACACATAAGAAATTAAAACAACAATTTAAAGCGGTAGTTTATTTTTGAAAAATATATTTTCATAGATTTTAAATTAAATTTCCAATTAAAATTAATGTTTAATGAAGTAGATCTTTAGTTTTTAGTTACCAAATTTTTTGGTTTCAATCCAAATCTATTGAACAATTAATGATAGAATTACTAATACTTAAATGTTATAATTAGAAAGAAATCCTTTTTAAGTTTGAACTAAATACATAATGTGAACCAAATTAATAAGAAAACCCCTTTTTTTTAAATAGTAATTATAGTAAAGTAATACAGATACAAATATCTCCATAAAATATAACCATTTTCAGTAGTTTTTTAATAATATATATTTTTGTTAATAATTATATTTAATACTTGTATTATTATTATATTTTATTAAATTATTCAAATTTTTAAATTATAATTAAAATAAATGAACTAATAAATCACTTCAAACTTCGCTTACATTCCACCTTGTCAACATGTTGCTGGCGCCACAAATGTTGCCAGCATAAATTGCTCATGCGCCCTGTTGTCCCATTCGCCGAGTTCTTTGTTGTTTTTCTTTAGCCTCTCCGATTTCCCCCTGCACCACCACCGCCCCCCTTTAAAACCATGACAAACACCATTGCCTATCCCAATATCCCAACCAACACGAGCGACCGAGTAACGCTGCCAAAGTGACAACCTTTCAGTTTTATCGCTTCTATATAGCGTTGCGATGGCTGTCTATCTGTGTGTGTGTGTGTATGTGTTTAAATAATGTAACAGTAAATTAGCGTGTTTGACACAATGTGGGCGTGGCCAACGGTGCGTGCGTTGAACAAACTCAATCAAGTTAATATTTGTAATTTGCAGATAAGTGGGAGGTAAAAGAAGACTCTAGTGACTTCAAGACCCCAAAAGAAAGGTGCATTTTTAATGGAACAGTAGTCAGAAAAGCTCGAAAAATTAGCACAATTTTAAGGAACTAATGCTTAAATGCATAAATGAATTATTATTGATTAAACAATTTTTATATTATCAAAAATAAATTGGGAAATATAACACCTAACAAAATCAATTCTGCGATTTTTACACACAAATACATCATTAAATTAATTCATTGAAATATATTCTTCTGTTATAAATATATGGTTATATACATATTTCCCAATTAAATTAAATAGAAAACTGTATTCAAGCAACAATATTTAATTATGCTTAATATTATTATATTTTTTTTGGCACAACTCAGCGGCATTAATAAATAGAATAAAAAATTATTCGGCTCATTAAATTGTAAACCAAATTATGTGACTCAATTAAGAGTGATTATATACTCATTCATTTGATTGAATCAAATTATTTATGCATTTTTCTTTTGCTCATCAAATCGAGAGGAAATTATTTTTATATTTACGTCCCTGACTAATTACAAGTTACAACAACAATGAGCATCCGCCGCTGTTTTTCACTAAAAATATACTCAACCAAAAAACAAGAATTGAGAATTGGGCAGAAAAATAAAATCAGAAAAAATAATTGAGAAAATAATCAAGTTAAGATGGAAACTAAAATCGATTCGACAATAATGTACCTATTCTGTTGGGATTTATAAGTCCTTAAGATAGTCTTATATCAATAAAATACTTATATATATTATTTGTATTTCTTGAAACAGTTATGAACAATTATTTCTTTCAATTCACACTTTTTTTTATATTAATATTTATTTACTTTTCTTGGATTAATAATCCATCCAATAATCCCAAACAATTTCTGAGTATACCCAAAACTACTGTAGACATAAATAAAATCCCATAGTCTCGAAAATCAAGAAAAAAAGAACACACTAAGCAAATAAACAAGCGGACAAAGCGAATGGTGAGCACTAGAACAATAATAGGAAGTCGAGGAGGAACCAAAGCATCAGGGGGTGAAATATAGAAAACACAATTTCGACTACTACCAATCTTCCAATTATACTCATTTCGTAGAAAGGCGAATGGGCCAAGGCGTAAATAAGTGAATGTTCCTCCTTCTTTTTGGAGGGGGAAATCTTCTTGGGAGTCGTCGACAGGCGCCACCAAAAGGGCCATCGACGAGATGACGATGACGCGATCGCCGGGCAGAGTTCGCCTCACCTCCAACTGACCGGTGATCACAGACTTTTCGCACCTGTACAAATCAGTTGTTGTTGCTTCTGGCCAAAAACGTATTTTTGGTTCATTGCCAAACAGGCGAACAGCAAGAGCAGCGGCTGGCTAAGCGAAAATAGAGGCAAACAGTGCGTATAAGCGATGGGTTAATAGGGAAGTTTCCGTTATTAAATTGGGTAAAAGTAATCAGATGTAATATAGTCATTGTCTAAATTAGTTTATTAGTATTCTATATTTATTTAGAATACTTATAACATTTTTTATTAATTTTTAAATATTTAAATTAAACATACTCGATTATTTGAGATGTTTATACAAATTTTAGAAGTATGTGTTTACTTTTTTTTACCCTTATTTTAGTTGTACATTGTTTTAAAATTTAATAGTTTTAAATAGTTTATAATTAGTTTCCTTTCATTTCGAAATATTTAATTTTGTCTTAAATTTTTTTTATTTTCCATAATTTTGATTTTGAAAAGCACTGTATGTATGCCCATTGGAGTCTTTATTGCGTCGATGCGTGTGAGCCAATAATTTTAATGTATATTCACAAGAATTTATTTAGTTATCTTGATTTTAATTAGATTTTGTATTTTTTTCTAGTTTTGTCTATATTTGACCCAGTTGTTATTGTTTATTGTTGCTTTGGGCCGCTGGCTTTAATTACATTAAACATCCTCAAATAATGAAAGCATATGCCAAGGACCAATAGAAATTAAACGATAGCAAAACGGTTTATTGTTATTTTAGAAGAAAAATTAAAACAAAAATAATAATAATAAATAAATCATATATTACATATTTTATAGATTAAAAAACCAATCAACAAAATTATTATAAAGTTTTTTGTGTGTGTTTTCTTTGTATTTTTTAAAGAAACTGTTTGTATTGTATTTTTATTTATTCTTTTTTTATTGTATTTGTTTATATAAAATGATATATTAAATACATAACATCCTAAATATCGACAACATCAGAAAAACGACTGCAATTTTGCCAAGAATATCATTATTTCAATTTACCTTAAAAAAAAAAATACCAAATCAAAGTACTCCCCAACTGAGTCCACTTACCAGCCCTTAGATCAGACCAATTAAACTGTAGTGGGTAATGGACTTCCCCAGAAAAACCTCTGGGCCTTCCCCAATGCCATACATTCGGGCACGTACGATAAATCTGTCTTTTATTTGCATCAATTAATGCGTTCGAAACAAAAGCCTCGGCCGACTCGGCGTGCTGTGGCCCAAAGGGATTTCGTGGGCCGTGACTTCTTGGCCAGAACTGTGGGGCAGTGGCAGTGCCTCTCTCTGGGATTTCCCAGTGGTTTGCCTTTGTGCCGTGTTGCTTGCCGTGCCGGCCCCTTGTGGCTTGATGGCGCCTAGAGAATTCGGCTGTAATTCATGTCGCGCGCTGAAATATGCGAAACATTTTTAAGACTTAATTGTTATGATTGTAAATTATACTGGGCAATGATATATACAGGCGATGTAGCAGGCACTATAAACGTATTTTTCGAAGTTATTAAATCATTTGAGATCTTTGTTGGCACTGTTTCAGCACTGTTTTTTTATTGGTTTCTAATTGCGAGGGGTATTTTTGGGTACACGACAAGGTGGAAAGTTGGGTAAAAAATTGTAGAAAATAAATTAGATTATAACTAGGTTTTATTTAAAGTAAAAACTTTTCATAGAAAATAACTAAAACTATTATAAATAATTTATCCAAAGTTGCCAATTTGACGATAAATATTTGAGATACATTTCAAAACATGAGAACTTAATTTTCCTCTCCAATAAAATAAGAATAATATCCTGCTTTTCTAATTTATTAATCTCTTTACCCTTGCCCTAGCCCCAATTTCGTCCTAAATAGATTCCCGTTTGGCTTGCTTGATGAATGCATTTCCCTGGCTCAGACGTAGGCACGAAGGCCAAGGAAATATCACTTACGAAAGTCATTCGAAATAATTGCATAATGAATGGGCACGACGACCAGAGGGTTCCGGTCAGCGGGTTCTATTCCTGCTCCAGATCCGAATTGTTCCTGCTCCCTGCCATTCACCCTGGCGACCTGCGTGTGGTTAATCAGTCCGATTAATCTACGCAGGACGAGTGC